TTGTCGCAAATGTCGCAAGTTCAAGGTTCGGTGGTGAAATGGGACGAGGCAACAATTATAAAACCTGTGTCTTCCCCCACTTTATCAATGACGGCGGAGAAGATTGAAATATATAGGAGTAGGCTACGTGAGGGATATTTAAATGCGAGAGATGCTGAGAGCCTGTCGTCAGCGTGGAAGTACAGTACATGATTAAAAAGTTCACTGAAAACTCAAGCTAGAATTAGTTTATTGCAAGATTTATTTAATTTTTTATTTTTATTTTATTTTGTGTTATTGGTTACGGAAAGAGCAATGGAAATTGAGCAGCAGTGAACTGAAACTGATTCAGGATGTGAAAACAAGATGGAATTCAACCTATTTAATGCTAAACAGGTTTTTTGATACAAAATATTCAGTAACCTTAGCATTACAAACTGTTGTCAGTGGTCCTGATATGCTATCTGGATATGAGCTTCATTTGGTCCAGGATACTATTAAAATTTTAAAACCATTTTTAAGCATTACTAATGAAATTTCTTCAGAAAGTACTACTGTAATCAGGAAGATCGTTCCAATTTTGAGTTTGTTGTCTAATGTACTCAGTAAAATTTTTCCTGAAACTCAAATTGGAAAATTATTGATCCAGAGTGTTTATAATAATTTGGATTACAGATTTAAATACACTGAAACAAAACTGGCCTAGAGTGTGTCAACGGTGCTAGATCCACAATTGAAAAAAGTCGAATTTAAAAGTAATGCATGTTGTACAAGAGCATGTTGTAAATTTCATCAACGCCGAACTTAACTCACAATCAATTATTAACTATGAACGTGAAATAATTGAGAACGACGATGAAGCTGACAACTGTGACTTGTGAGACTCAAAGAAACGTAAAAATCACAAGTAGTGACAGGATCAGAAATTTCTTTAACCATAAATTCTTCATTAAAACATTACCTAAGCATGGCTATTTCGGTGCACACCTCTGACTCATTGGCATTTTGGAAAGACATGCAAGATACTGATCAAAATCTTAGCCTTTTAGATTTGTAATCATTATGCACACCCCCAACTTCAGTGCCGTCAGAACAATGTTGTTTTCTAAGACCGGTCTTATTATTAATAAAAAACGAGCAAGTCTGAGCCCAAAAACACACAAAAGCTATTAATATTAAATCTTGCGAATTTTGGAGATCTTTATGAATTAGCAGTTTAATTTGTCCTTTTGCAACAGCTGCTTATACTCATGTACCGCACCTATTGCAATAATAAATGTCAATAAAACTTTTAAGTTAAGAGTTAAATTTTCACCCACAAGGTGACACTGGTTGCATTAGGCTAATAAAGGTGTGCGACGGGTGGAACATCGGTGATCGATGTCAACAATTAATGGTAAAAAAAAAACATCGATGGAACATAAGAATTTCGTTTTCGTTTTATTTCTGATGTAATCGGAAATAAAACGCTGATCTGACATTGAATCATACCTTTAAGTTTCTTGCATAATGAAGTCCTTTTTTATACTTCATACTCTCTTTTGTATACTTTGCGGGCGCGACTGGTTATTAACTTCTAAAAGTTTAGTTTTATTGGTAATTTTTGTCCATTAATTAAAAAAACATATAACGTATAAATAAATCATTAATTAAATAAAATAATAAAAAATTTATAATATATTTTATTATTTAATTAATTTCAAAATACTGTATACTGTATAGACTATTTTCCCAAATATATATATAAATATAAAGATATATATATATATCTTTATAAATCGTAATTTATTGTTTGATTTAACAATTGTATTAAATTTGACAAATAAAAAATTGCATTATTTGCTATTTCCGACTGGCGTCATCTTAACCCATAAGCACCGTTAATTCCTATGTGATAAATTGGGAGTATCGTTTATTTCACAAAGTTCTTCTGCAATATTTTCTACGTAAATTATTTTCTTAATGAACACGAAACTATTTTCTTTCACGTATGTAGACTAACGAACATCGACTCTGTTAACTTGACAGATTAACGAGTATACACATAAGTAAAGCNAGAATTTGTGAAATTTTGTTATATCTTTATAAATCGTAATTTATTGTTTGATTTAACAATTGTATTAAATTTGATAAATAAAAAATTGCATTATTCGGAAAAAACGTTATTTCTGACTGGCGTTATCTTAACCCATAAGTACCCTTCTCGGTAGCAATCATTTTATTAAAAAAATTTTTTTGAATGTTTGGTAGACTTCACTGCTTAACAGCTCGGTGATATATATCGATTTATAAAGATATAACAAAATTTCACGAAGTCTAATAATAAACCACTTGAATATGCAAATTGTTTTGTAGTGTATACGGCAAATATGGCAAACAGATGATATCTATAATCATCCAAACCTTATCAGTAAATTTTCTTTTTTTAGATTTAAATTTACTAGTCTATTGTTATTTTGTTATTTTCATTCAAAATCGTTACTTTGATCGCTATTTCCGACTGGCGTCCTCTTAACCCATAAGTACCCAGAGGAGCATATTAGGAGAAAAATGCAAAATTTTTACACTTTTTCCAGGTAAATCTACATGAAGAGGATTTTTAACATATCTCTGAATTCACGCCTAAGTACATAAGCATGTTCACTTGATGAGCTGAAAAGTAATTGACATGATGACATGATACACAGGGTAACAAACCTACTCCAAAAATCCCCTATATGAAGTATCATAGAATTATGAACAGAGAGTTAAGGATAGCAATAATAGTGTCCTTTGGCCAACTTCGATGCTAACAACACTGTGAACATATATATATTCGGTAATTGTAAATAAAATTGTTTAAATAAAATAAAATAAAATGTAAATAAAATTATAATTGTAAATAAAACAATTTTAATCTGTGTGACTGAGTTGCTGTAATCTTATACACCAGTATAATAAGTCCTATTAATAGAAATACACTGTTATGGTGATTAAAAGAATAACTAGTTGAATTAAGGACATTGATGCATATTAATTATATTATAAATTTTTTATTATTTTATTTAATTAATGATTTATTTATACATTATATCAGTTATATATATATATGTTACCGCTGAAGCTCGAAACTCGTTAATCTGCAGATTAACTAGCGTGATCCGTTAAAGTTGCTAAAATTGTTCTATTTTTCAAATTACCTAGGTAATGTGCAGATTATCTAGGTAATCTGCAAATTACGTAATAGGCACTCAGTAAACTGAAAATAGGATCTTTGCTGAAACAACAGCAACGTTTCTGTACGCTTAAGTTAACATAATGTTCTTTATTTAATTTTCGATATCTAAAGAATCAAGTTAATACAATCAATCGACAAATTAGTTGATAGAATCAATCATCAACCAATTAATATCCCGAGATATCTCGGGCAAGTTACATAGCGTTACATAAAACGCAGTCCTTAAGGCCATTTTTGAAATTTTTTTTTTAATTTTTGGAATGTTTTTAGTCTCCAAATTTTTTCAACATTTTTTTCCCGCGCGAAAAAAATTTATCGCGATTTTAATTTACCTTTAATGACGCACGCTTCAAGCTTAATTGCTTTTTAATAGTTTTTTAATGGGAGTTTGATATCATATTTCATTCATCGTTCTAAAGTTGTAGTGCACGGATTTTCCTTCGGTAAAGTTATTTAAAGCTAGTTTCTGATGTCAAAAACGACTTCCGATAGTTTTTTAATTTTTTTAATTAATAGATTTTATTATATATACGTTTAATTAAGTCGGGGGTTGGAAATCGCAATAAAAAACGTAATTTTTTAAAAATATTTAAAAATATACGGCCAGCTAGTATTCACCCTACTATAAACCCATCGCCTCCCGAGACTTCTATGAGAATGTCCCGGGAAATCCAACTCCAGTTGTGTTCAAGGTCATCCAGCTGTGTAAACAATGACTCATCAGCGTCAGATTTCACAGAAAGGCGAGACAAAGGAAAATAAAATTTGAAGCTTTTTCTTCAAAATTAACGCATTTCTTTCGTTCTTTTTTCAGTTTTAAGTATTTTTTATGTTTAATTACATTAATATCAAAAATATCTTCGTACGCAACGGGTTAATTAAAAAACATATTAGGAACACATATAAAAAACATATAGGGAAATTATTATATAGATAACCACCTATGGAATTTCGGGACTTTGAGTATCTATCTGAACTGGGGGACCGAGACGACTTCAATGATACCCTACTTTTGGACCGGAGACGAAAAATAAAAAAGTTACCATACTTTTTCTGGTGATCGCATGATGTAATTGTAGAGTTAATGTTACCTATGGTGAGTAAAATGGCGGCTCGTCTCTGATTCCAGCAAACAGAAGAAAGGAAACAGTGGGGACGCACGTTCTGTCCTAACCTAACCTATTCTAATAAATTACCATAATTATTACCAACCAAATTATTAGAATAGGTTAGGTTAGGTTTGAACGTGCGTCCCCACTGTTTCCTTTCTTCTCTTTGCTGGAATCAGAGACGAGCCGCCATTTTACCCACCATAGGTAACATTATCCAATTGTGCAGTCTAAAGATTGGTGACACTTTGAATTTCATAGCAATTGGTTTTTGCGACAAGCACACCTATTTGTGGTACATTTATTTGTGGCAAAGATCTTATTTTCACTTTACCGAGTGCCTAGTAGGTAATGTGCGGATTACCTAGATACTCTGCACATTATCTAGGTAATTTGAGAAATGGAACAATTTTCACAACTTTAACGGATCACGCTAATTAATCTGCAGATTAGCTAGGTAATCTGCAGATTAACGAGTTTCGAGCTTTAGCGGTAACATATATATTGAATAAATGTAAAAGTGATATTTCATATTCCAAAAATATATATAACTTTTGGAATTTTATTTATTTATTTAGGCGTTTATTTAATTATTATTTTAATAAGTTGTAAAAAAATTTGAGTCATTCGTATTATGGTTTTATAAAACACGTTTAATGAGATGAACTTTTTATTTCCTCACCAGAGGGCTAACACACAAGTAATACAACATATACAATAGTTATAACTACACGTGTGTCGAGCGTGAAGATTTCGTTTTGTCTATATTTGTAGGTCGGTATTATCTGATACCTTACCATTTATAATGGAAATATTAATGAATGGAACGCCAGACGTTGTTAAATCTCTACCTATTAAAAGCGCACCGACCAAAACTGAAGATTATGGCCCAAATTTTAAAGTAATTCCCATAAATGACCAAATCAGAGAACTACAGACAGTCATTAGGGATAAGTAAGTTTAAATTATTTTTATTCGAATACCTGTTACTGATTTTCATAATACTACCAAGCTACCAATTAATATATTTAATTTTCGATATAAAACGTAATGAAGTCATAAGGGACACTACAAAATCAGACTAAATGCAGAGTTAAATTAAAATCATAATGGTACTGTTATTTAACCAGATATATTTTTATGTTTTGTTAGTCATTTGTTTATTTATTTTAAATAATTGCGTTGCTATAATTTACCACGATAGGAATTAACGTAAAAATTTTCATTTGGCAAGGAGCCAATATATATTAATTCCTTTGCCCTTTCAGAATCTACATATAACATTCCTAAATTCAATACAAACTAGTAATATTTTAGAAGAATTTTAAACACTTATAAAAATAAAACATAATACAAATATACAAATGTCATCAATTTGTTGATATTATGAATTGTTGATATTAAAGTTTTGTCTATGATAATGTGTACACTAAACTCATTTAATAATAATAATGTCTAATTTATATTTTTACTCTAAAGTCTTATGCAATATATTACATGTACAGTAATGTAACAAATTTCTTACGCAATATGCCTTATGTAGTGAAATGCTTTTGACATTTAGATCTTAACTTGTTTGACTTTTATTATTCTACAGAATTATTTTTTGATCCGTTGTCATATAAGACATAAACAGGAAATAACTAAAAGTACTTTAATATAAATCATGCAGGTTTTAGCTTAAATCAGTTATAATAAGAATACTATTTTACAATCTTTAAAGTTTTAGTACATAATTAACAACTTTGTTATGTAAGCATAAAATACTAAATACTTAAAATTTAACACTTTCTTTACAAAGTACTAAAAATTAGATAATTACAAATTAAATTTTTCTTGTTGTGAAAGTATTATAAATATAAATTAAATTTGTAATCATTAGTTTTTGAAATGACAATGAATAATTAACAATTAATCTGAGAAACAACACAGAGTTCTTTAAATTAATTAAATTAAAGTAATTTTTTAAAAACTGCTTTTCTGGAGTTCACCTTTATTTTAAAATTATTTTATAGGATTTTTGAACAAGTACATTGTCAGGAGACCTACAAAATGTAAAATTTTGTACATCTGATGATAGACTTGATCGTCTGAAAGTTTAGGGAATAATTTGTAAATAAAGGTGAATTCCAGAAAAACAGTTTGTTTTTTTAATAATTAAAAGTTTAAAACTTGTATAGTTGAGCTGTTTTCATCTATTGTCATTAAATGTATTATTATCAAATAGTGAAATGTGTATAAATAATTTATTAATCATAGTACGTTAACAAGAATATCAGATATAAAAACTTATAGTTGTGCTAGAAATGGTTTCAAAAATATTTTATTTTGTAAAATATACATTAATTCTAATTCCAATTTAAGAAAATTTTTTAAAACATTACAATTATCTGTTTCTTTTTCATTATCATTTTGAAATTTATAATTACAAAATTATTGTTCAATTATCATATCAATTTTAAGATAATTCATATATATTTATATTTATCAAAACAAATCTATTATAATGTTTATAAAAATAAGCCTTCTTTCAAAAGTGCAATTTTGATGCATTGTTAAATTCCTTGTTTTAAAATAATATTTTAGCTTAATAGTCAAAGTTATTATTTCACACAGCCAAATGAAAGTCCTTAAATATCAAAAAAGATATAAGCTACGAAAGGATTAAATCATTCTTTTATATATATTATTATAATACAGTAGAGCCTCGAAAACTCGGCACTCGATAACCCGGCACTCCGGATAACTCGACCACACCCTGGCAGGGCAAAAAAAATCCTTAGTTAATTAATTTTCATTATAGACAGCTTTATGCCTCATAAAGTATTTTTCTGAGGTCTGTCTTATCAGATAAATTACTGTACACAGTGTATTCATTAATTTTCATTTTCATGTAGTAAAGGCTCTATGCCTTCATAAAGGACGTACTTTTCCTTTGTTTAAGGGTATTTGAGCAGTTTATTCTCTGTTGTATTCTCAAACAAACAATACATACAAGTACGGTACAATATTTTCTGAGGAAACACACATACTTATCCTTTTTTAACCCCATTCCCGATAACCCGGCATTTTCGCAAACTCGCCCACCCTTCGGTCCACATTAGGCCGAGTTTTCGAGGCCCTACTGTAATGAAAAAGAACCAACAGAACTTACAAAACTACATTTTGCTACAATGCTACTAAGGACAGACTACACAGTAGTCACACACATGACAAACACCCAATTAGACCCCACATTACACTAACCAATTCCATTCTCCAGATGTCCCCTCTGCATTACAAAAAAGGGGTAAGTGGTGTTGGCTCAGCAAGGCTTGTACCTTGTCTAAACTGATGACTTAATACACATGAATTGCAAGAAGGAGCAGACAATATGAACAAGATTGCATTGAATCTACTTTTTGCTCAATTTTAATTCAAATCCCAATTTTGGAGACCAGAAAAGTCTAAAAAAAGGATGCACGTAAGAATCAAGAATATGGTAATAATAATACAAGTTGTAAGTTCATTTAGCATGAGTAAAGGGTAGTAGACTATTATCCTTGATGATACTGAAAAGTAAGAGAGTCTATATTGCCTTAGTGAAAGCACAGATGACAAAATATGAGGCAAGTGCTGTATCCAACATTAGCCTTGTGGATTAAAGGTTAAAAATATTTATTTTGAAATATTTATGAATCATATATAATAAATATTTTAATTTGAATAAAGAAATTAAAACTTATTTTTTTTTTAAGTTTCATAAATATACCAATATACTTATAATTTCAGTATAAATATATCTCTAAATTAAACCAGTGATTATTTATTGTGACATCATCACAATACTGGGTTGTAATTTTTAATTTAAAATATATGCTCTCCACCTTAAATTAGTAGTGTCTTGCTTCTGTACATCATACTTTTCTGTTAGCAATAGAGTCGTGCCAGTCATGTACTTAAATCCTTTCAGGGGAAATTTTTGAATTGAAATAACTTGACTTCCAGTTTGTGCCAGAAGTTTATATATAGTTAATCAGAGCCTCCTTCCCTAATCTTTCTATATTTGGTCTCAGCTTTCATCTCTCTAACTCTTCTCAAGATTAAGGAATGACAGACAGACAACAGTGAGAATTTATAGGTCTACAATTTTTTCAAATTGCAACCAATTAATTTGAATAGATAGACCTTATTTATCACTAATATAAATATTTGGAATAATAATATTTGAGAAGGAAGGAGATAAATTTCTTCTCAAACAAACATTTTCTACAAATGTCTGAATTAAAATAAATATTTCGATCAGATACTTCAGATTTCAATCAGATTAATTAAATAATTTAAAGCTTGTTGGTATAAAATTTTCAATCTTATTTATTAAAAGATTTAAAACTTTATAACTGTTTCTAATCTTATAGTTTTTGTAACATTAAAAATTAATAATAAATAATAAATAAATCACTTAAAAATAAGGAATTTAATTTAAAATTTTATTACTTTAATAATAATAGTAATATTGTTTAAAGTTAAAGGAAAATAGAAAATAAGATTTTTTTAAAAAAATGTAGATTACATTTTACGACCAAATTTTATATAAGGTTGATTCCGTGTATTGAGCTCTAGAGACAAATTATATATAGCAGTGAAAAAGAAAATGTCACACAATAACTGTACAAAACGCTGTCAATGTCAATAGATATATCTTTCATATCAGCCATAAGGTATCATTCAATTTGGCATTTTTCTTATTTTGTCGACGACAATGTAAACAAAAATCTCCATAATGTCTTTTTATAAGGGAACATCTTCGAGTTTTATTATGTTATACTAAACATATGGTTTTAAAGTAAAAGAGGCATTTAGAAAGATTTGCAAAAAATCCACTATAAATATATAATAATAATAAAAAGCGATATACCTTTTTATTTTTCTTTAATATTCTGAACGACATTCACTTGTAGCTCCGAGAATTTCCCCAAGAATCACCTAATCGATTGATTTCCCTATTATATAAGACTACAGAAAACCATATGTGTATAAAATGGCATTGATAAAGAAACTGAATTAAATATGAAATGTAAAACATGTTTATATTTTTAAAAAAAAAATTTATTTTTTATTTGAAAACATATTGTTTAATTATATAATAGTAATAATAATGTATTGTAATTTGTTTAACAAAGAAAATTTACATAAATATATTTTTAGTTCTATTTATTTATGACATTCAAATTTATTTTNGTAGACTTCTCTAAATGTATTTTTAATTAATAGATTATCTAACGCACTTAATAAATAAGCAAGTTCAATATAATTAACTTTGTTATATTAGATTTAATAGATTCTATACGCCCTCTAAATGCCAATTCTCGCTTCGATAACATCTACTAATTAAAATATAATATATCTATTAGCCATAACTATCTTGTTATAATTTTCAATTTTTATTTTATATCGTGTACTAATGTTAAATTCTATTCTATTTTGATTTCCAAATTGCTTCAATTTTATGAAAGATTCGATGCGAGATTTAGGATTTTTTTTGTCTTTTGCCAGTTTTACTAAAATTATTTAAATCTTCAAAGCCAATCTCATTCTACACACTAATTTTATTTGAAAATAGTAGGCAAGGCCAACAAAACAATTTTTGCATTTTTATGCATCCACAAAGCCATTTTATATCTTCATAAATTTTATTGTGAAAATGTCACAAATTTTTTGAAAAATGAAACAAATTTTTTTGTTGACGTATTTATATTTAATTTAGGCATTGGTCTTTCTCTTTTAATAATGTTTTCTTTTTCATTATAAGGTCTCGAGCCAAAACTTTTTGAAATAAATTTTCAATATCACAATTACATTCTGAATCGCTAGCCACGATATAAGTGCTAAAATAAAACTTACTTGGTGAAATAAAATGTGTGGTGGATATACATATACCCAGGAAAAACCCAGGAAATTTTAGTGATAAAAGGAACTTCTTATTTCGTTCTTATTTACTTAGAAATTTATTTTTGAATGTATTCATTATTTTAAAGTTCTTGAAATAACAGAAAATTTGGAAGAGTATCATTAACTAAATTCCAATGGTGTCATTCTTTGAAGAGTTTATTACAATTGTAATATATAATAATTAGTATTTATAAAGTGATGTATGATATAAAGTTTTCCTGAATATGAAATTTTTTTATTTTTCAGGAATACAAGTAGGAGTGATTTTGTCTTTTATGCAGACAGATTGGTAAGAATTTTACTTTTAAATATAAGTTACAGTTTATTACAATAATTTTGTAATAATAATTTCTTAGTTAAATTATATCAAACATCACTTATAAGAATTTATTTTCATACTGACAAACTTATGTTTTTTTTAACATTTTAATACAGTAAGACCCCGCTTAACGTGGGGGATACATTCCTAGACGACAAAGCGCTAAATGAAACAGCGTTAAATGATGTCATTTTAACATAGATGTGGGAACCAGGGGCTGTCAAAAGTTAATTTACATTAGATTAGGGTCCTGCTACCAGGTGTGTTTTGTCAGACACACTGCCAATTTTGACATAACCAGATAGTTAAGGCACGAGGGTAAGAGTCACGCCAAAGTCCAGGAATGAGCCTCTCAGGAGGATGAATGCAAAGTCAAATACAAATAACAAGAGTTTATTATCAAAAATTATGTTCTGGATAACATTCTTAAAATCCGATTGAAGAAATCTGCCTATTTCTATCTATGAAACGAGGGGGGTATCCGAACTACAACATACCAGGAAAAAGAGCTGTCTTCTCTTGTAAGTCCAGTCGGTCTCCTGATCTAGTTCTTTCTTCCTTTTTGCTTGGTCCTTCATTGATGTCTGCCAGTAAATGACATTCACTTCTAGTCGAATTTTCCTTGCGATTATGGTGGGATGGGTCCACTTATGTCTATTGTTGATGTTATCGTTGATGCCTTCCTTGTATTGGATGATTCTTTGAGAGTCTGGAGAGGCCGGTGCTTTCTATCGTTGTCTGCCGAGGAGCTCTGTCTCTGTCTGGATTTGTGCCTCTTTTATACGCTTTTCAGCACAGGAGAGTTATCATATGGTTTACTATAGTATTGGTTTGGCTTTTGAGCTGAGTCATTACAGTAGCAAAACTGTTTTAACTCTCTCTGACTTCATATAGTGGTAGTGCCGAACACCACAGATGTCATCACTGACAAATCCCATCATTATTCATCAATTGTTTTGGTTACTGTTGTGCCTTGAAACAATGTTTGATCAGCGGGGGGTAGGAAGTGGTGTTTTTCCCACTTTTTAAGTTTTACTCTTTTACAAATTTATTTAATTACTTAATTGTCCTCTCATCCTTTTCCTCGCATGTTGTTAGATTTATTGCCGTTAATTAATAAACTTTTTATTCTAAATTATTTCTCTAAATCATTCTAAAAGTTGATATTATTGGAAAATTCTATAGGGAAGTCCCTAGAATCGGAAAAAATGGCAAATTTCCTCTTTGATCCATGTATAAACAATCTCGGTATCTTCAAGATGTGGGTTCAGAAGAAAAAGGATATGAAATAAACACAAAGTTTAAATACAATAAAATCTCTAACTAATTAATTAAAGTGACAACAAAGTGGCTAATCTAAGATTATACAGATAACGTAAATATGTAAATAACAAATACACGCACGCACGCACGCACGCACGTGGTCTTCACATAGAGTAAATAGGGATAGGAGAACATGCAACCAAAAATAAACAAATTTTACTTTAATTTTAAGTTATTTTTATATTAATTTGTATAGTAATATATGTTAAATAACACATAAACATATGCACACAGAAATGTAAAGTTCATTTTTTGTGGGTTTTTCTGAAATTCTTGAATGTTTTGCGATGAACTTGTCTAGTGATGATCATTTGTTGTTTTTTTTGTTTTTTATTAAGCAAATGTCGATAGCAGGAGATCGCATTCAAAACACCTCATTTTTATTTTGCTTTTGCACTCCTTTCAAAATCTGGATCATTCACTACAATTTGATCAATGATATTGGCTATGGCTACCAAACTTTTACTAAGGAAATCTGTAGAGAAATTCTTTGGGTTCTTTGTTTTCAGAATCACTATTTTCCAGTTGCACATGAATTCCTTGTTCTGACTTGTTGTCATTGGTAAGGCTTTCACCAGAAACCTGCGGTAACTGCTCAATATCCTGCTCGTCTATCTCTCCTAGTCCTGCTATATTGATTAGGTTGAGTTTGGTCAACCTAACGATACAGTGATAGGCTCTTCTCATTGAGAATTCTTGGATACCTTCAGTCATAACTTCTTCCACACTTTGTTCATGTATTTATCAGTTAATTCTTGCTAAGTGAAGTTGATATTGCCTATGGCATCCATGATGTTATATTTTTTCAAAAGTTGCACCAAACTGACATAGATTTAAGGAAAGTACAGTGCTACGATGAATTGCCACCTTTTGCTGATTTGTTTATGTTTGGAAATAATGAAATGCTGTGATAATTTGAATCAGCATAAATTTTGAGCTTTTTTTAGGCTTTGAGTAGACTGTGTTATATCGAATCAGTGTTAATCAAGGCAGCGTTAAGCGGGGTCTTACTGTATTATTATTTATAACAGAGATAATACAAATTATATTTTATTGAATTTATTTTATTTTAGATGATGATGATGATAGTGTGATCATAACAAAGGTAGAGGTTATAAAACCACCACTCTCTAAAATGTAAGATATATACAAATAAATATACATAATTTTTACAAAGTATTTGTTTATATTTAATATAAAAATACAGAAGTTATAAAATGATAAGGTATTAAATTTTGTTACAGCCAATTCCCAGCAAGGCAAAAAGAGAACCATTTTTTTAATGGAAATTGGCTGAAAGAACTGTAAGTTTTGAAAGTTTGTTTTTAGAATTTCATGATTATGTGGTCAATTATGTGCTTAGAAGAATATTTTTGTAGTAGACAGTCAATAGAAAGGCGAGATGAAGAAGAGAAGAAGAAGATAAGATATCAAGAAGAATTAACGCGATCAATTCGAGAGAAGGTAAAACATTGTTCTTAAGAAATTTCAAACTTTGCTTATACTTAGTTTATAACAAGTTTCTTTTTCTTATGCAATTTAGAGGGAAGCAAAGTATGCAATTGCAGAGGAAAAGGTTTGTTAAATTATAACTCTTTTTTGTGTATTAAGGAAAAAATTTTGAAATAATTATTTATATTAGATGAAGGAAATTTTTAAGAGGAAAGGAACAGCAGTTTTAGAAGAAAAACCTCTTGAAGATGAAGATCAGTTAGATGGTTTTCCAGGTAAAAGTATAAACTAATAATTAGTTTTTGAAAAGTTAGTTTTGTTCTCAATCATATATTATTATATCAGAATTAACATCTGAAATGGATGTGGAAGTTGATGATGCTTTAAGGCCAAATCCTCCGGATGAAGTCTTAGCTGAAGGTTTTCGTCTGTCCGTTGCACGCAGAGATATGGAGACACTTGCGGGACTTAATTGGCTTAATGATGAAGTGCGTTGTTTTATCTATAGTAATTTGTATATTCTTATTTGAAATCATTTTCTTATTTTTATTTTTACATTTTATAGATAATTAATTTCTACATGAATTTGCTTATGGAAAGAAGCAAATTGGATAATTTTCCAACTGTATATGCCTTTAATACATTCTTCTATACCAAATTGTTAAACAGTGGTCACAGTGCATTGAAAAGATGGACGAGAAAAGTTGACATTTTTGAATATGACATGTTGCTTATTCCCGTTCATATGGGAATGCACTGGTGTTTAGCTGTAAGTAATTTAAGTGTTCTTCTTTTTAATACTTTTTAGTTGTAAATGGAATTAAAACAACAAATTGAAATTTATTCTGTAAAATATAATTTTAAATTAATTTTGAAAACATTTTATAAACCAATTTCACTAAAATTTAGATAGTTCAAAAAATTTTTCAATCTAATTTAAATAATTGTAATGAATTTATCTAAATTAAGAATTTTTATAGGTTATTGACTTCCGACATAAAAAAATTCAGTATTATGATTCTATGGGAGGGCAAAATGACGAGTGTTTAAATGCACTAAGGTAAGTTTTTCAGGAACTGATTATTATTTAAGATTGAAAATTTTTAATATTAACTATATATACCATATTGAATGTTTAACAATTCATAAAATCATGATTAATAATTTGTATGCACTCATAACATACTAAAAACTTTGTGAAAGAATATTATCATACCAAAATATGTAAATGTAAAATATTGTTTTTATTTTCTGAATTCAGTAAATAAAATATGTGATATGTAATAAACATCCTGAAGTCTAATGCATTAATACAAAGCCAAAAGATTGCCATAATTAATCGGGCTATTATTTTGCTATTATTAGTAATTAGATATTGAGTAACTTGTTATTAGAGGTTGATGTTAGGTGCCATCTCTAGGTGTTTGGCACCTAATCTACTTCTAATGCCAAATTACTCAATATCTAATTATTAATAATAGCCCGATTAGTTACGGTGATCATTTGGTTTAGTAAAATATGGTATTAATTTATTATTGCAATTATTATTTGCTACTTTAATTTTTATTTATTTATGAAAGTTTTATTAATTTATTCTTTTTGTTATATATCCTAATTGCTTCACTAATAATTATATTGTTATGATGATAATATTTATTCTAATGTGATACTGACTAGAATGTACTGATAACAATAATAGTGTTGATTTTGTACACTGACATATTATATTAGTGGCCATGGAAATTGCATCATTATTCAAATTTTATAAAAATACATTTATTTTTTTAATTAAAGTATCATTTTGGTGCCAATATACAAGAAACTGAAAAAGATTGACATCAATGACAACATAAACATGAGAGTGCCTTTCGTTGCTGACAGTCTATTGCAACAACGCTTCTGGTGATTGTATCATCTATTATCAGAAAATCCATGTAATACTTATTCGCTTGAGAATTGGCTGACTTGTGAATGAATACCTTTTGAAGGGCACAAAGACCAGCTGATATGCCAGAAGTGCAACTGCAATTTAAGTGTGAAACACATATTGTGAAGATGCTCTGTATTTGAAAGGACTCGGATTTTGTTTTAAAAAATGCACATTTGTCAAGAATTTTGATCCAGAGACCAAATCTTGACATTATACTGAACTTTCTGAAAGTCATTAATGTGTATAAAGAGATCTGGTTATTAATTTTTTATTTTACTTATAAATACCATATTTGTTAGTTACATACCAAGACTGCCGAAAATCTATTGGGCTAGTTTTATGCTATTTATTAAATAAATTACGTAATCAATTTGGCACTAGAGGTAAGCGTTAGGCGCCATCTCTTATTAATATTAATAATTATAAATAAATTAATTAATTTAAATAATTTAGAACCGCTGGGAGAAAAAATCGGCCCGGAGCGGGACTCGAACCCACAACTCCTGCTTACCGTGCAGATGCGTTGCCAGTTACGCTATCCAGACCTCCGTTCCGATCTCCTCTCCCAGCGTATATAAGCTAACCACTTAACCATCGACGGTTATTACAACGCCGGCTGGGGACACATTCAGTGCCCACGTCCTACATCTCATAAGGCTCTCAACCGGCCATCGCAAGCCCCGGCAAGGCGTAATATAAATGAACATCTCCAAACCCGATATCCAATATAGTAAGACACCAACCGAATGCCGTAAATTAATCGGGCTATTTTAATGCTAAATTCTAAATAAATTACGTAATTAATTTGGCACTAGAGGTAAGCGTTAGGCGCCATCTCTTATTAATATTAATAATTATAAATAAATTAATTAATTTAAATAATTTAGAACCGCTGGGAGAAAA